CACTTCGTTATTTCAGTTTTTAAACCATTTATCCATTTACCTCATTAGAAAATCTAGAAAACTTAGCAAATATATATAAATAAAAAAAGAAAAAGAAAAGATATTCCCTATGAACCTACTAGCTAGAGGTTATAATTACTAGTATCATAATCATTTCCAGCTATTAAGGAAGTGATAAAATATAATCTTAACATGGAAAATAGAGATCATATCATTGATTATAACAATTACTTTCCTGCTTTTACCCACTTATCATTGTATTGTGAATGTTTTCCCACGTCTTTAATATTCTCCCAAACATCTTTGATGATAGCAGGCTATTTCAGGATATGGCTCTACCATCATATAGATGTTTATTTTTGTTTTATTGAATTTTTTGCTCCCCCAACATCCATTTACCCTCCTTCTCAATCTCCCTCTGGGGACGCCATCGGGCTTGGGTGATGCCGACTCCAGCCATGACTTCAGGGTCAGAGTCTTTGACTCAGGCTTAAGCTATTGCATTCGCCTGTCCTCAGGGACTAGATCCACTGCGGGTGGTGCCACTCTCAAATCCTGGGAAGAAGGGGCTAGGAGTCCAGGGGCCCGGTGAAAGTGCCCACCTGTGGCTGCGTCTCCCTCTCTACTGTACTTCAAGGAGAAATAAAGCACATGAAAGGGGGAGGGCATGGAGGCTGCGTGTTCCCGGAGATCAGATCCCAGATCTTCCTCACGCGTGTTTCCTCAGCCCCAGCCAGGAGACCGGCACAGAGCACACACGTGATGAACCTGCCAGCCGGCGCCGTGCCCTCCCTGCCACCTCCAAGTTGAGTGGGACACAACTGAAATGGGTCGATCCGAAGAGAAAAGCCAGATCCAGTGCTTGTCTCCCTTTCGTGTTGAAACAACGTTCAACAGACTTAAGAGCAAGGGAATGTACTTGGCTGATATTTTGGTAGTTGTTTCCTTGTTTTAAAAAGAAATGAACAAAAAGCAATGCCTGGTACTTACACTGAACATGGCAGTTGATAAAATGCTTTCAGCGCATTACCTACTTTCAGCCTCAAAACAGCGCTGTTGGGTAGAAATTACTACCCCTCACATTATGGATGCAAAAATTGAGACACATGGATATTGAGTACATTGTTCAGAGTCATGAAAACAATCAGGTGCGAATCTGGCCATCAAGTGGGCTTTTTCCACTAGGCACAGAACCGCATATAATGAGCATGTGCCCACTCTGTCTGGATTGATCTCCCTGCTTACTTTTTTCAATTTCTTCTCCTGCTCGCATGTCCTAGAAAGAAGTTTAGAGCCCCATTTGTACAACTCTGGGCTCTTTCCACCAAGCGAGGAACAAGGCTGACATAGTTTGTTGGGTAAACAGAAGCGGTAAGTGACAGTGATTTACGCCCGGCTTGCAAACTTCTGATTACCAATCCACCGCCTGCTATGTAAACAGGTGTAAACTAAGATTTAAATCAGTTTACACAGTGGGGTAAATGATTTAATCTTTCCTCAGCACGGTGTTTGTGAATGTAAATGTTTATGCCAGAACCGATGCCGATGTTGCAAGCTTCCAGTTTCTCGACCAGAAGAGCTATGCCAACAAATGGCCCTTGTGTGCCCCTGGCCGGACTGGGAAAGCCGGCCGAGTCAGAGGTGCAGGTTAAGGCAGAAAGCCCAAAGTTCTAGGGGGAAGGCTCGGTCTCAACACAAAGCTCAGCCATGGGCCGAGGGAGCTAGAAATAACCCCTCCACCCTTAATTCCTCCTGGTCTGGAGAATTTTCTCTCCCCCTCAATTATTCTTCTCCACACTGTTCTGCAGATACCTGAGTCAGGTGCAGGTCTGTGAAAAGGGAGGCAAGAAGAGAGAAGGAAGAAGCCAGAAAACAGCAGCCTGCAGGTGAGTTGTAATACCACTTGAAGGTGGCCCAGGTCCTCACTGCCTGTCAATGCGTGCCTATGCAAATTCATCTAGATCCTATGAAAATCACATGCAAATGTGTTTTCAGTTGTCAAAAACTGTTGACTATACCTGCCAGAGTCCACTGAACCCAGTGCTGCCTCTTAATGAATTTTTCATCAGTATTATTCATATTCTCATCAGCCTGGCTCTCGCCTGACTTGCTCCTTGCCTGCCCCCCGCCCCTCCGCCCCCTCAGCCCCTCTCCCCACCCCCGCCCACACACACACACACACACATAGAAGCCTGTAGAAGCCCGGGCTTTCTCTGGAGTGGAAGGCTCTGGACAAAGTCAGACTCAATCCACCCCACAGAAAGATGGCTGAGTACTGACTAGTGAAGGTCAAATGAGAGCCAGAGAGTAAGTTTCCTGATATTCTTCTGTCCCCTTAAAGAAGTCTAGCTTATAAGCAAACCCTGTATCCCTTGGCCTCACTGGTAATGCCATAGCTGGGATCTTGTTAGTTCAAAACACAAATCCCTGGGCGCTTGGGTGGCTCAGTCAGTTAAGCGGCAGGCTTTGGCTCAGGTCTTGAACTCACAGTTCATGAGTTTGAGCCCCACATCGGGCTCACTGCTGTCAGCATGGAGCCCACTTTGGATCCTCTGTCCCCCTCTCTATCTGCCCTTTCCCCCACCCCCCATCTCTCTCTCTCTCTCTCTCTCTCTCTCTCTCTCAAAAATAAGCAAAACATTCTTAAAAATATTTTTAAAAATCCATCTTTAAAAAAATACCTACCATGGGGAGACTTTTAATTAAGTCCTCGGTAAGAAACAAACTAGATTTTCTCCTATACCACATAATTTATGATAGGGAAAGTATAGCTACTAGTTACTGAGTGAAAGGAGTTTCCTTTTTCTGAAAGCTTTTTGTTTGTTTTGTTTGTTCAGAAAAGCCTTCTTTTTCTGAAACCCTTTATTGAGCCATTGGCACAAGGCAGGCAGGGGAGGGGGGTGCATTATTTCCTGCCATCTTCACCTCAACACTGATGTGGCCATTATCTTCAACTTACCAAGGAGACCCAAAGAGTTACATAACTTGCCTGAGGCTACTCAGCTGAAAAAAAGGGGGTCTGACTGGGATTTGAAGCCCAGCAGGACTCTCTTCAGAGCCTTTCCTCTTAAAGGGTGCCGCAAGGCTTTTGTTCTTTCTGATCAGAAGAAAGGCTCCCGGTTTCCCTAGGTCTGGGAATGTTCTAGGAGTGTGCGCGCACACAGAGCCCGGGAGGGAGAAGGCAGAAAGACTACAATGATAGTAATGGCTAATATGTATTGAGTTTTATGTTAAAATAAATTTACCAAACCTTATGCTTAATTACTTAATTAATTAATTTAGCCCCCACACAAGCCCTATCAGATAGGTATTATTATTACTGTCTTTGTTTTACAGATGAGAAAGACCGAGGCGGAGAAAGAAACCTTCCCAGCATCACACAGGTGATAAATGTCTGGACTGGGGACCAGCCCAGGCAGTTTCTCCTAGAGCCACAATCATAAATTCCCAACCGTCCTGATGAGGATGTTCTGCCCACAGTTGGATTTGGGCGACACGCGTAACACTTGGGAAGCTCCCAACACTTACTTTCAAGGAAAACAGTAATTAGGGCAGAAGTATTTTTATGTATTTATTTTTAATGTTTATTTAAAACATTTTTGAGAGAGACAGAGCAGGGGAGGGGCAG